CCGTAAGATCCCAATCTTCTAACAGTCATCAAGGGGCTGTTACGTAAGATCCCAATTTTCTAACAGTCGTTATGGGGACGTTCCGTAAGATCCCAATCTTCTAACAGTCATCAAGGGGCTGTTACGTAAGATCCCAATTTTCTAACAGTCGTTATGGGGACGTTCCGTAAGATCCCAATCTTCTAACAGTCATCAAGGGGCTGTTACGTAAGATCCCAATCTTCTAACAGTCATTATGGGGATTCTACTTAAGATCCCAATCTTCTAACAGCCATTATTGTGAAACACCAGTACATGTTTGGGGCTGATTCCAACAATGGTGTCGGAAATCTACACAAAATTACTGGTACCCTCACGAACAAGGTTAACCCGGCGGGGATTTATATCCCAGCAAAACGATGATTCAAAACAAACAGCAAATCAGGCGAAATACTTCCCTGACAGGAAACTAGCAGAACACACACACATAACCATGATTTAGCTGCGCAGAATCCCGATATGAACATTCTTCAGACTTTGGGGCAGATGAAAAACTGAGATGGTCAAAAGGCGACCAAACAACTTGACTGAATTGTGAGGCCATCTGATAATACTCCACAATCACAAGGTGTAATAATAATCCACAATTACAAGGTGTAATAATAATACTCTTTGTAAAACAAAGGGCTCGTATACAAAATACTAGCGCATTGTATAATTTATTCGCTTTTCTTATGTATTTTCTGTGCTAACGTTTCGTACCATAAATAAATTCGCTATGTAATTGCCATTATCGTTTTTATGACTTCTGTATATGTAGCGCTTGTGAGTTCATAATTATTTTTCGTTATCGTGCATATATATATATCAATTATATTAGAAACTTAGTTTTAATTTTACTTTCTAACCTTAACCTTCTTTAGATATTAATATTGTTTACATAAATTAAAAAATGAGCACTACAGTTATACCAGAAAAAAACACATTGACAACTAATGTATTGAGAGTGCTAAGCAAATGAGAGCTGTTACAGATTTATAACGTGTATGTACAATAGTGATAGAGCATTTCAACAAACAGTTGTGTCTGTGGTTAGGGTTAGCAGTAATCTTTTGGCAACATATTTAGTATTCAGCATTTTTCTGTACATTAAAATAATAATACGAAGCCCTAAAGCAAAATATATATAGTTGCCAGTTAAACAGTTCTTATGTTGCAATCCACACAAAAAAACAACAACAAAGCTTTCATAACGGTTTGGCCAAAACTACCTTTTTTTAAGCCAACTTTAGGGCTAGTCATAGTGTTTCTGGACAAATGTTAGGCCTAACAAGAAGCATCGATCTCTTTTTGTCGTAATTTGAACCAATATTATCAATCTATGAAATGAAAATTGTGAATTAACAACTCGCAGAGAAACATCAACGTGTACTGCTTTTACAAATTTCAGGAAATAATTACATTTAATTGTTCCTTACTGAAGACAATGTAGTACAAACGTAAGACAACATCCTCACTGATCTGGAGTGATAGACACAACTTAGGACGAAAATTCACAAAATTACAATACTGCGTCTTAAAATAGCATAGTTTCTTGCTTTCAGTTCATATTTTAGTTTTAGAAAATAAAACATCTTTTTCACTAAAAGAATGACATTAATTGAAACATATCAATGTCATTTATTGTACAAATCAGCCACAAAACCTTTAAACACTTTGAGTAATGTTTGCTCATTGGCTGAGTATTTTAGCAATATCTGGGGACTCGTGTACAGAATGTTTCTAGCATTATAGTGCTAGGCTTAGTATTCCAATAATGGTTAGCTGCAAAAAAAAGGCAGATCTCACAGCTTGGCACAACTTCACGATACACAGCCTTTAAACTTGCCACAAAAGCAAGTGATTAGTACTGTCATCCCGCCCTATTGGTTCTTTCAATCCTGAGCTAGAGAAGTCTTCATAACCATCACCTCCACTCATCACAAGCAAGCGACGTCCTGTGGTAGCAGTGGTAGAGGACGTGTGACGAGCAGCGCCACCTTTTTGACTACAGATTGACTGATGTATATAACTGGTAGAGGAACATTCATCTGTGTGTGGACCGGGCGTCATCTCCACACGTGTCAGGAAACGTACGTGCCCAGTGTGACCACGAGGGACCCCTGGTGAAAGAATTTCATATATCAGTGAACTATAATATTTAACGTAAAAATAAACAATACGAATTATTCTATCTCATATCGCGACACCTAGGGTATATTTAAATTAAAAAAACATATTCGCGATAGTAAAATACATTCAAAATACAACACTTTAACTTCTATGCCACCAATAGTGTTGAAACACGCAAACAAACCACACATATTATGAAAGAGTACCCTTCTATTCCACCAGTAGTTGTAAAGCGCACTGTTCTTAATGATGAGTAATTCGAAAACGAAATACAAAGACAATAACAGTAACAAGTGATTTGCCGTTTCGTTAATGAAACGTTTTTGATATTCAGTGTTTTTAATCTCATTAATAAGAATCGGTACTCTTTCATAATATATGTGGTTTGTTTGCGTGTTTCAACACTATTGGTGGAATAGAAGGGTACTCTTTCATAATATGTGTGGTTTGTTTGCGTGTTTCAACACTATTGGTGGAATAGAAGGGTACTCTTTCATAATATGTGTGGTTTGTTTGCGTGTTTCAACACTATTGGTGGAATAGAAGGGTACTCTTTCATAATATGTGTGGTTTGTTTGCGTGTTTCAACGCTGTTGGTGGCATAGAAGAGCACTCTTTCATAATATGTGTGATTTGTTTGCGTGTTTCAACACTATTGGTGGCATAGAAGGGTACTATTTCATAATATGTGTGGTTTGTTTGCGTGTTTCAACGCTATTGGTGGCATAGAAGAGCACTCTTTCATAATATGTGTGATTTGTTTGCATGTTTTAACACTATTGGTGGCATATGAGGCAGGCTACTCTTTCGTGTTAGAAGTATAAAAAAAATCTAAATTTTATAAAGACAAGTAGGGATCGATATATATACGTAACCTAGCTAGCTATAGTGATATTGAAAGGTTTATGCTACAAAAACTGAATTACGTAAATTTAAAAAAAAGTATTCCTACTTTGACTCAGACCTAACATCATTACAGAGATTTGCGAAAGTAGGTATAATTTATTTTAAATTTTAAGTAACTTAGTTTTTGTAGTTAAGATTGCCAGTGTAGAAGAAATAAGATCAATCTATCTTAAGATTGCCAATATAGTAGAAATAAGATCAATTTATCTTAAGATTGCCAATATAGTAGAAATAAGACCAATTTATCTTAAGATTGCCAATATAGTAGAAATAAGAACAATCTATCTTAAGATTGCCAATATAGTAGAAATAAGACCAATTTATCTTAAGATTGCCAGTCAAACAGGAAGAAAACCAATTTATCTTAAGATTGCCAATATAGTAGAAATAAGACCAATTTATCTTAAGATTGCCAATATAGTAGAAATAAGACCAATTTATCTTAAGATTGCCAGTCAAACAGGAAGAAAACCAATTATCTTAAGATTGCCAGTCAAGCAGGAAGAAGACTAATTTATATTGAGAATATGAATCTTGTAGAAAAAGGGTAGATTATCTTAAGATTAGGCGTTCACAAACAAATGAAATTATTATATCTTAACAATACGCGTCACATAGAAAAATGACTAATTTACCTTATGACTGATTTCGAGTCACACAGAGAGAAGACTAGTTTAAGTTAAATTAGAAGTCACATAGCAAGAATAACAATTTATCTTAACAATACGTTTGTTAGCCCAAAATACCGAATATCACTAACATAATGAAGTATACTGAAACTCTAATCGTCACATGTAAATAAGTCTAATTGCACCATGATTGTTTGTTTCCAATAAAGTTATTTTAAACTAATATGTCACATAGGAATGGCAACATCATGAAGTAGGCCTAAGGTATTCAAAACTCACTTCTTGCAGAAAACGTTAAGCTCCAAAATTTTTCTAACATTTACTTTTTTTACTTCTTTCAGCAAATTCCACAATAACTGTTTCATTTTCTAAAATCAAATAAATCGCATGAGCTATTTGTATATATACATATATAGTTTATTTACAAAAACCGTCATTAATTGTCGTCAAAAGAAAAGACGATAATGCGGTAATTCAAATGTTAATAAATATCACCAGTTAATGTTTTAAAGATATATGAATTCTACAAACCATCTTCTCTTCAACAAAGATAAAAGTAAATTAATTGATATAAATTAAATTATCACTCTGTGACTCATGGTAAGTCTGGGGGCTTGTAACGCTAAAAATCGGACTTAGACACTCATGATTGGAAAAGCACAGATAGTCTATTGTTTAGCTTTGTATTTAACAATAAACAAAGAAAACGTGTAAATTAAACGTAAAAAAGTTTTGAATTTAAACAAATTTTAGGGAAAATAAAAACTCGTTGTATAGATTAAAGAAACTCAAAATATTTATAATAATCACTCATTCCTTGCTGGAGTTTCTATATTAGTAAGTATAAAACTGATAAACATCATGCTGTTGTTTACATCTTGTGTTCAACGAACATAAAATAAAGTTATATGAATGATCTTGCTAGAAATTTCAAAACAAATTTTAAGTCAAATGCGATAATAATCCGATCTATAGACATTCAGTACTCAAGAAACCCGGAATAATTACCAGAAACGTTAGGAACGTTATCCAATTTTGAGGTAGAAGAGGTCAGATGTGGAAGAGGTAAAAACAAAATAACGCCGGCACTCGTTCCTATCCATAAGAGGTCATTAGAGGTGAGAAGAGCCGTGACACGAAGGCAAGCTGCTTTGTGTTGACGAATGATATCATCAAAACCTAAGCAGAAAAAAAAAGAGAGAGAGTGAAATGGAGAATTTATTCAATAAGTAGCATCTGCTTCGCTCAATCTTGTTTGGTGAAATTGTGTGGTAAATGTAGAAGGACTGAAAGAATGCTAAGCCTCGTCCTATACAAATTTGAAGATAATGTTTATTTATAACTTCTAATCAAAGTACGCCACCTATACATATATATATATATCAGAACTAAACATTAACCGAGAAATTAATGTACCTAGCGGCATAAACTATTATAAAAGAAAAAATTGATATAATTAGAATTAACTGCTTCATCATTGGAGTACAATCACTGTTATTGATATTTTCGGCTGTAATTCCAATAATATCTCAAGAAGTTCGGTCAACTTAGAAGATTTAAGTTAGTCCTAAATACGTATATTAAGTTGAGATGAAAAATAACCTTCTAATAAAGATTTTACTACATTTTAAAGATGTAACATTTCTATAACATGAAGTTTTTCTTAACAAAAACGAATCTATTTTACAAAGTCGCGAGCCATTGCTTTTTCTTTACAAAACCATTACACCCATTGGAATGAGCCACGATTAAGAAAAAGCACTTGGAAAGCTTATTAATTTAAAAAATCACATAGTAAGCTTTATATAATATCGCCAATATAATATCTTTTATTTATCCCTGAATCCCCTGATTCTTCTTGATATTCTCGTTCAGTGATGTAGTTTGATGTAGATTTACATGTGAACACTTGCCGACTACACTCACCTGCAAGCATCTTAGTGACAGCTGGGGCAATATTGACATCCAGGAGGCAGTGATAGTGTCTGACGCCCGGGGCCAAACAGAATTTGCCCCCCCCTAAACCCAATCCCAACTCCACCCGCCCTTTACAATATAACTTTTAACCTTACATGGTAACCCTACCTACCATGGTACTGTATTTCACCATGATGTCATGATTCTCTGGTCGTTGTAAGACAGTTGCTGGTCGAATAAGTAAAATTTTTTTAGTAATTAAGCACAGAGCTACACAACGGGATATCTGTACTCTGCAATCTACGGGTATCGAAACCCGGTTTCTAGCTTTGTAAGTCCGCAGACATATCGCTGTGCCACTGGGGGGTCATGTGCAGAAAAGCACTTAATTCAATGAAAAAAATATTTTGGGGTGAATGTGACTTTATCTAGTCAAAGATTTTCATTGGTTTATCAAGTTTTATTTTCACCGTTTGATACTTTGATATGGTGTTACATATTAGTGTTAATTACCTAGACATAGGAAATCCAGGATATTCATAACACTTTAGTTCACTGACCATACACTCAAGTGTTACGTGTTGTACTCTACATTGATATAGAAAGTGCTCCACATCTATCCCGATTGGTATTATTAGAGGACGAATAAATCTGAGATAGAATTATTTAACTTGCCAGAAATCCGTCGACAGCTTAAAAAATATGGCCTCAAATTGTCAGGTGTTCACAGAATTGCTAAATTTCTGATCAACTATGACATGTAAGTATATATTAATTAAGCATTAAATTTATGATCATATACTAATATTTGATGTCAAGCATAACAAAACATCTTAATGAGCATTAGTCTTACGTGGACAACAAAATTCTGGGTACTCTTACGTGGACAACAAAATTCTGGGTAAACTGGCTGTTAATTTTGCGCCCTCCGAACCCGGCGCCCGGGGGCAAATGCCCAGTTACACCACTCTCACTACGCCACTGCCAGGAGGCTAGACATAGATTTATATGTGAGCACTTGTCAATCACACTCACCTGCAAGCATCTTAGTGACGGCTGGGGCAATATTGACATCCAGGAGATTTTCATAGCTTATAGCGTGGAAGAGCTTAAGTACCGCGCTATGCTGGGTCGCTACCCAAACACCGAGTCCTGAGGCCACCATACAGACAACAGCTCGAGACGTGTCGCAATTGACTTGTAAACAATGCTGAAAACAGATCATTCTTTTTTTACTCGTCTATTCGTTTTACCTTGTTCGTGTTTTGTTTTTTTTTCGTCTTTTTTGTAAGTGATTCCAAAATTTGACGTTTAGTGTAAAAGAATGCAATAGCTAATTCAGGTTTTGTTTTAATATCCTTATGTGAAATATCTTACTTGAATTTTAAGGATGTTGGTGAACATACTCAAAGTAGAAGAGCTTCATCAAACCAGTCAGTGTGACACACAAAAATACAATCCAAACTTTTTAACTCAGTCAGTGTGACACACAAAAATATAATTCAAACTTTTAACTCAGTCAGTGTGAAATACAAAAATACAATCCAAACTTTTTAACCCAGTCAGTGTGACATAAAAATACAATCCAAACTTAGTCAGTGTGACACACAACTATACAATCCAAACTTTTTAACTCGGTCAATTTGACACACAAAAATAGAATTCAAACTTTTAATTAAGTCAGTGTGACATACAAAAATACAATCCAAACTTTTTAACCCTGTCAGTGTGACACAAAAATACAATTCAAACTTAGTCAGGGTGACATACAAATATACAATCCAAAGTGTTTAACACCGTGTGACACACACAAATATAATTCAAACTTTTGAACTCAGTCAGTGTGACACAGAAGAATACAATCCAAATTTTTTCTCAGTTTTCATGAAAGTTATCTAGAAAAAGGAATATTAAAAACAGTCTACCTATGATAAGATACAATATTGTTTGTGCCAAAAATATCACCTACATAACAAAAATGTTGTGGTAAAAATAATAAAGAAAGGTAGAACCTCTTCCTCCATTGTTCTGACACTGAGAATCTTTATGTAGTTCTGACATCCACACCAAAGTTTTCCAGCCACTGCCAACATGTGTGTCACGGGAGCGGATACGCTGCCAACCTGGACTCTCTGGAACTCTGTAGTGTCCCACTTTCCTTCTGAGGTAATATAAAAACATCCATCTTTAAAAATCAACTTTATAAATCAACTTGAGGAATCTGTCTGTCTCTCCCCTCCTACCTAGTGAGTTAGTCGTAGTCTTAGTTGAAGTTTTATGACGCTTAATTTTTAGGGTTCGATCCTGTAATGGGCACACCACCGACTGCCCGTTGTACAACTTTCCACTTAAAAATACATTTTTTGTTCTTTACACAAGTGTTTTTTTTTATTAAGAGTGACCGTGTAGGCGGCGTATGCTGCTGACTCGTTGCCCTTCTTCTCACCAACATTTTAAAACTAGGGATGGCTATAATTGAAGCTTGGTATCTCTGAACTGTCTGTTTAGTCAATGTATCGCATAATGTGATGTTCAGATTTAAAATAAACACCTGTTGTTTTATATACTGTATTTTGTAATCACAGCAACTGATACTCGATGATATAGTACTGTATACAATCAAGAAATCAAAAACCATTTTAAACACCTTTAAAATAACGTTTTTATTGACTACAAATGATTCATAACCTAGTTAGCTTCTACCACTCTTTTTAAAAACAAACAAACCCGTGGTGCTTGAAAAATCCATTACAGATTAAATTTGGCATTTTACACTAAACAGATTACGAAAGCTACACTTTAACAACGTTACACAATGTGCCACATTTTAACAATGTTGTTGGGTTAGTTGTTGTTAAGCGCAAAGCTGCACAATGGGTAGCTATGCTTTTCTCACCTAGGGTATCGAAACTAGATTTTTTGCATCGTAAGCCTACTCACTTACTGAAGAGTCACTGGGGGGCCTTAATAATGTTTTAAATTGCACTACATTTTAACAACGTTACAAATCGTAATACGTTTTAATGGCTTTACAAACCGCACTACACTTTAACAATGTTACATGTTACTAATCGTATTACGCTTTAACAACATTACATGTTACTAATCGTATCACGCTTTAACAATGTTACATGTTACTAATCGTATCACGCTTTAACATTGTTACATGTTACTAATCGTATCACGCTTTAACAATATTACAAATCGTAATACGTTTTAATGGCTTTACAAACCGCACCACACTTTAACAATATTACATGTTACTAATCGTATCACGCTTTAACAATGTTACATGTTACTAATCGTATCACGCTTTAACAATGTTACAAACCGTAATACGTTTTAATGGCGTTACAAACCGCACCACATTTCAACAACATTACAAATCGTAACATACTTTAATAATGTTACATATATTATCACACTTTAACAACATCACAAATATTATCACACTTTAACAACATCACAAATATTATCACACTTTACGAACATCACAAATATTATCACACTTTACGAACATCATAAATATTATCACACTTTAACAACATCACAAATATTATCACACTTTAACGAACATCATAAATATTATCACACTTTAACAACATCACAAATATTATCACACTTTACGAACATCACAAATATTATCACACTTTAACAACATCACAAATATTATCACACTTTACGAACATCACAAATCGCACCACGTCATATTCACAAATCTCTTACATTTCCATGGAACTTAACGCTTGTATTTTTTTGCCCTCTGAAACATTTTACAGAGAAAATATTCCTATTATAACAATATATTTTGAACGTAATAATGATTTGCTCACTAGTGTTTAAAAGTTTGAAATATCCAAATCAGTAATTCAATTCAATCTTCAAATTGTCGACATGTTCGAATAGCATTCATTGTCGGTGATGACCACACTCACATCATATAAAGTAGAATATTACTAAGTGTGATGACCACACTCACATCATATAAAGTAAAATATTACTAAGTGTGATGACCACACTCACATCATATAACGTAAAATGTTACTAAATTCAGTGTAAAGAAATGACGAAAAGAATTGGGTGAGATCATTCATTTCCCATATAAAATATACTCCAGGAATAAATAGTGGAATTAATTGTAATATTGACGGTATTTGATTCACTCACATGTTATTAAAGACCCATTCATGGATCCACAGACAATTTCATGCTGGCATAGTTTAAAATTATGTGTTTATAAAGCCGTTGGAGTCCATGTGGACCCCACTGGTTATCCTAGGGTTAAATAAACATTTAGAGAAGCTGAGATTTATGTAAATTTCGACTTAAAATATTTAGCTGAAAATCACTGTCACACTTACGGTCCCCTGGTGGGACATCGGCAAGTTTACAAACTTACAACTCTAAAATACGGGGTTAGTGGACACAGCAGATAACCAATGTGGCTTTACTCCAAAACAAACAAACAAGTCACACTTACGCTCATTTCTCCTGTAAACGTACAATCCTGCATTTGCTAGAGAAAGAAAAACTTTGTTGTCGAAGTATCTATAAAAAAATATTATTAAAAAAGATTAATTATTTTTTCAAAAGCAGCAAATAAATTGACTGCTTTACTATCGTGTTAAGTTTCGAACATTGCTTTTTTGTGATGTATAATTCTATAAATATTTTTAAATACAATTGTGTCACGAACAGAAACATAAACGATGGTATCTATGCTATCTTTATTATTCTGTACTGTACTCTAGATTTTTTCCCGAAAAAACATATTTATTAAAATAATCAAAAACACTAGAAAAAAATTTACTACAAGTTAATAGAGTATAAACATTAGACATTGGATGTAAAAATATTTGCAGTATTCCCCAAACCTAAACTTGAAATCGATATTTTGTTCCCATAGCAACGTAAATGGGTAGCTACTTAATTTTCCTGCGTTACCAAGTGAAAACCACTTACATAATACACTGAACGGCGGCTGAATGTTGAATTTTAATCTTGTCTTTTTTGTGCCAATGTCGTCGCTGCAGTTGTAAATGTGGACGCTGAAATATAAATTGATTTTAAATTATAGGAAATAAAATCACTTAGTTATATTTTTATTTCTTTACTTATCTGATTTTTTTAAGACGTGAGGTCAATGAAAATTTGATCTAATATCTTATAAAAGCTTAAAGTACAAAACTATATATCTAACCAATTACTTTTACAAAAATCTAGAAAATGAAAGAAATAATACAGTAATAAAACTGTGTGAGAAAAGATGCACAAAATAATTTATATCATCTAGATAATTTGTATTGGTAAAAATATGTACAAAATAATTTATATTATCTAGATAATTTGTATTGGTAAAAATATGTACAAAATAATTTATATTATCTAGATAATTTGTATTGGTAAAAATATGTACAAAATAATTTATATTATCTAGATAATTCGTATTGGTAAAAATATGTACAAAATAATTTATATTATCTAGATAATTTGTATTGGTAAAAATATGTACAAAATA